GACAGCCAATCCATCATGGAGGAGAATGAAAATGTTGGATACTTGTGGGAAACATTAGAAGAAATAGCAACCATCAGTTCTGATTGAGGTAGGAGAATTAAACTGACAGAATAATAGAATAAGAGGCATGCAGGAAAAACCAGATTAAAAACATGCAAATATAGTATGATTTTTGCAAACAGAAATCTTTAGGTGGGTAGCCAAAAATTATTAGACTGAAAGACTTACAGATTCCTTAAAGACACACAAACATACAGTCAGTTAAAGAGACATGCATTTAAATAGATAGATAAATAAATAGAAAAATAGATAAATATATAGATAGATAGATAAATAGATAGATAGATAAATAGATAGATAGATAGATAGATAGATAGATAGATAGATAGATAGATAGATAGATAGATAGATAGAGATAGATAGATAGATAGATAGATAGATAGATAGATAGATAGATAGATAGATAGATAGATAGATAGATAGATATAGATAGATAGATAGATAGATAGATAGATAGATAGATAGATAGATAGATAGATAGATAGATAGATAGATAGATAGATAGATAGATAGATAGATAGATAGATAGATAGATAGATAGACAGATAGATGGATAGATGGATAGATGGATAGATGGATAGATGGATAGATGGATATAGATGGATAGATGGATAGATAGATAGATAGATAGATAGATAGATAGATAGATAGATAGATAGATAGATAGATAGATAGATAGATAGATAGATAGATAGATAGATAGATAGATAGATAGATAGATAGATAGATAGATAGATAGATAGATAGATAGATAGATAGATAGATAGATAGATAGATAGATAGATAGATAGATAGATAGATAGATAGATAGATAGATAGATAGATAGATAGATAGATAGATAGATAGATAGATAGATAGATAGATAGATAGATAGATAGATAGATAGATAGATAGATAGATAGATAGATAGATAGATAGATAGATAGATAGATAGATAGATAGATAAAACTACTGCAATAATTTGGTTTGCAATGCAAAGAGAAATACAGAGAATAACTGCCTTTTAACTGTCAGTGAGAGTGAGGATCATACAGGAAACTGCCGCTGGTGGAGATGCAGAAGGACATCCACAGAATGTTGAAGAAACCATCGCTCACACTTGTCTTGGCAACGCTTGTATCTGTTGCAGGTGAGAAACAATATAACGCACACATGCATACATCAAACATAACACAACATTAACGATGAATAGGAAAGTCGATGGAAGGAAAGCAAAAGTCGCGTACAAATGCAGCCCACGTTTCAACCAGTCTTTATCAATGAATAAAGAACGTATTTGTATGCACTTCTTTTTCTTTTACCTCCTATTGGGCGTTTTAATGTTGAACTACATGCGTCTTTGACGTTACCTTTGTAAACTTCGAAGCCTTTTTTTGTGTAAAGTAATAACAAAGGACCATTTTGCCTGCCTTCATTATAGACCAACGGACACTTGGCTATATACAGTACCACAGGTGATTAGAAAGTGTAACAGAATAAGGCAGGATAGCAGGAAAGTGGGACATGGCGCCGACGAGCACGGAGATGGGCACAGGAAGAAAGTAACACACTAGGTAGGAGAGCACACAGGCAGGAGAGACCGAATTTTCTCTTCATGTAGACCAGTATGATAGCGACGTTCTGCAAAGGACCTGCTACAGGATTATAATATAAATTGTGCATTAGGGAAGATCGAGGCCTGGGGGTCATGACCCAGGTGAGCCCACCTTCCGAGATTGTATAGGAAAGGTAACGGGCTGAAACAATCGTCGACGAGGGATCTTTCTACTGATGATCGGTGGACACCTGCTGTACATGCTTCCCTACGGAGTTCATCTTCTTATTATTGTGCCGTAGTGGTAGAGTATTACTATGCATACTTACCAATAACGTGATGTCTGATTAAAATACATGCTTTTAATTGCATGATTTCTCTTCTTCATATTTTGGCTGCATTATATAGAAAGGGAAAACTGTTTTGAACACTGAAAAGAGAGACAGAGAAACTTTTCTGACAATCTAATGCCAGATAGAACAGTGCATGACTTACGGTTTCGGAGGTCGTAAGATGCAGAGAAGAGTATGCCATGTGATGATAATGAAAAATAGAAAAGGTGGGATGAGAATTTAGTTCAATACAGAAACAAACGCAGGGAAAGATTTACACGAAATGCCTAAAAGTTACGCAAGAAATGATTTATATTAATAAAGAAATACCACTTTCAACCAAATATAAAATTAAATAGGGAGTTAAAAAATGATGCTACAGAAAAAGAAATATAAGAGCGAGAAGAAGAAGAAGGAATAAGAAAAAGAAGAAGAAGAAGAGGAAGAAGAAGAAGAAGAAGAAGAAGAAGAAGAAGAAGAAGAAGAAGAAGAAGAAGAAGAAGAGTTGAAGATAAGGATGATTGTGATAATGATCCTTATGATGCTGATGAAGGTGATGCAGATGATGTTGATAATGATGAAAATGTTACAAATAATTCAAAGTGTGCAGTTACCTATATAAATGCAGCCACAAATATGCCAACTTGTATATCGTCTCACAGGTGCACAGAATAAGCCTCCATTCTGCAATGAAACATATGTTTCAAAATCAGTAATGGAGGGCGTACCCGTTGGCACCCCAGTTCTAAACTTCAAAGATTATTGCTCGGATCCAGAAAACGGACCACTAACCTACCAACTGAATGACAACGCTAACCAGCAGTTCATGGCATCAGCCTCCGAGAACTTGTTAAAAACAAACAAGCCTTCAGACGCCGAGGCTGTGTTAAGTTACGCCAGGAGTTTTCTGGCAAGTCCATGGACGGTGAGTTTGCTGAAAACGAGTGTTAAAATGTTTAGTGTTCCTGTTGATTCCTACGTAGTGTAGTCGTTTGTTTTCTCTCGTTGGTTCTGCACAGCTTGGTGGAATACTGATGCATGATAAGGCAAACGTGGTTAGTGCCTTGTGAGAGAGCTTGTACAGTTCGGAGGAGCAGATTGATCACAACAGTCTGGTGAGATTGAGCAGATTGAGTCACGACAGGTTCTGGCAAATGTGAGGCTCAGATGCAGTTGAGGGTGACGTTTAGAATGCTACTGGCACCATTAGTATTGGAACTCTTTGCTGGCTGCTGAAGATGGGGACAGAGCGCTTATGGGAATGCCCCGAGTGCTGTGATGTCGGTTCTCAAATCAAATCAAATGTTTTCTTTTGTTAGGGATTTTCTTTGTAGATTCAATTAAACAGAAATGTCTGGGCAACCACTAGTGGAACAGTTATGAGACAAAGAAGATGACGTTAGAATGGACACATCATGAGAAAGAAAAGGAGCAGAAAATCACCAAAACAGGCACTTCTTCTTCTTCACTTCCTCTTTTACCGCTGTGGGTGTCGAGGGAGATATAAGGTTCTGTTTCTAGCTCTTCTGGCTGCCTCGACCATAGGCACATCGTGCTTTTGTAGAGTTTCTCTGATGTTCTCCTTCCATCTTGTTCTTGGTCTACCCCGTGCTCTACGTCCTTCTTCTCTTTCCATGTATGCTTTGTATGGTATGGTGTCACAAGGCATTCTCTCTAAGTGGGCAAACCATTAAAACAGGCACTAAAATGTGTAAAAAAGGTAATGTGAAAGCAATGACATCCAAAAAAAAAAAACCCTTTACAAAAGTCGATGAGGACGACCAAAGATGTTGGACTGAATTCCATCCAAGAGAAAGCACAATGTAGAACGGACTGGAGGAATAGACTGCGAGCCTTATGTGACACAAAACGGCACACCAGGATGATGATGATGTTATGCTTGGTCGACCTGCGATCGAAGTCAAATTTTGAAATGATGATTAAACCATAGACCTTCTAGACGACAAGCGAGCCATCTAGCCATTGCACTATGGTGGTTTTTTTTTTTGTTCCATTTTACTTAATTAACTAAACCGACAAGCAAAATTAGTCAACGCTAGACTATACATTACTCGTTAAAAAAAATAAAATAAAACAACGTAGTGTTCAATATGATTGTGAGAAAAATAGCTGACTGAAGGGTTAAAACTTTAGCCTGGCTCAAATTATCGGCAACATGGTGGTAGTTCCCTCCCCCCCCCCCCCCTTTTTTTTTACATCAGTATCAAAAATGAAATCATAAACCACTGAGCCATACTGGCGCCGCGGCCCTAAATCCTTGGCCTGAGCCCCTTCCCCTACCAACTTCAACAGCCATTACTGGTTGTACTTACTTTTGCGATGTAAGGGGAAAGGAGGGCGGGGGTGGGTCTTTGAGCCTGAAGTTTTAGGTCTGCATGGCTAGTGCTGTCGCCACGGACTGTGCAGATTATGACTATTTTTGTGTCCCTCGACAGAAAAAAAAAAAAAAAAAAACGCTCAGCCTTACTGTAGATTCGAACCAGGGTCTCCCGCCTGAGATCCTGACGTCCTTAACATTTGGCCTAGCTACCCAAAAATACCGCCATAAAAGTAGGAAATACATTCTCTGACCGACAGTTAAAAATACTTTCAGTTTTACATATATAATGAAACGTAACAGAGCAATATTTGAACAGTGCTTTCACGCCTTTAGGCGTTTATGGCCTATAGGGCTAGACCTTTATTTTCATAGAATAAACGACACAATATGGGTGATGTGGTCAGCATCGCGCCGGCCGCCTTTACTTCCCGGGACTGCACCCGGTACCCACTCAAGGCTGGGTCGACCTGGGAGCCAATGTCATTTTGAAAAAAGTCCGGCTCCCCCAGGGAGCGAACCCACGACCTTCCGATCCACAGCGACTCCGATATTCACTTAAAGTAATCCAAAATAGGTGAACACGTATCAGGCTTGACACTGAATGTTTATTTCTCTGTCTTTTCGCACTTACAGCTAAGAGTGACAATACGAGACAAGGCTAATGCTGCTTGCATCTTCACCGTTTTTGTGAGTATTATCTCCATCAACGACAACCCAGCAACAATCAAGGACATGGTGGTCCCTCCTGTACGAGAGGACACTTATGTAGGGACTGTAATAGGTAGATGCAAGCTTGTGGATGGAGACTACCCGAATTCTGGCCACGACGTTCCCTTTGTGGAGATAATCGGTATGTTTTTATCGTCTTCCCCTGTGCAATGTTGGTGTCTATTGACAATAGGAAACTGAAATCTCATAAGGTAAACATTACCAGCCAAGACTAAATTGAAACTTTGGGCAGGTTTACTTTTTAATTTTTTACGTCGTGGTAAGTTTTTGCTTCTGACACTAGTTAGCCGTTGCATTTTCCTTACTGTGTAGACAGAAAGAATATAGTTCCGACGCCAAGCTACTGATCTGAGTGCGTGCTGCGACACTGTGATCTGCGGATTCAGTTTGGAATGCTTTTCATCTGTGCTCAGCATGGTTTGTGTTGGGAACTACAGGTTCATAAAATGGCAAGTGGCCTGTTGCCTTAGAACTGATGGTGTTTTGTGGGATAACTGCGTGTAAAACTACTGATCTATAACTGCTGCTTCCATCGACGATGAACTGCATTTCTAGTGTCAGATTGTTTGAGTTGGCACTTCTGACGGTTGCCTGATGCATTTAATGTGTGTGTTTCCATGACCTGTGGCTTGAAATGTAGAGACATTTTAGATACATTAATCTCAGGTTTTCTCTGTGTGATTTTGAAATAGTTAAACTTGTTTGAAAAACGTCTCGAATTGTTGGGAAATCGTCCAGTTTAATTACAAATGTATCCCTAATGGTTTAGAAAAATGTCAAGTTTGAAGTGGTATCTTTGACTTAAAAATCCATGAGTGGCATATGGGGACCCAATGTGAGGAGGAAAGGAGGAGGGGGGGGGGGTGGGAGAAAAATAGTCCCACTGCTTTCGTACCAAACATGTCGTAAAAGCCGACTAATTAGGGGAGTTTGCTTTAATGTCGGAGTGCATCTGCCTAAGGGGCCTGGAACCAACAAACTGCATAAAAATTAGCCCGATCTGTAAAATGGATATGTATACTAAACGTAATCTCTGGATCAAGATTAAAGTCCAGAAATGGATGAACAACTAGAAATTTCCTCTGGAGTTTCACTATAATCGATTAAGTATGATCGTACTGGTTATTGACTAGATAATGATAAATGATCCTCTTTTCTAAAAGCTGTCACAATTATAATTTCCTAATCGGTGACTTCACTGTCTCTAGAATATTAACTTCTATTTACTTTTCAATTTTGCCTCCTACTGTTTATTTTTAATCTTCATAATTCCTTTTGTCATTTTTTCTCGAACGAAATTTGTTTTGACGTCGTCAAAATATTCACAATGTTTCCTTCACCAGCTGGCAACGAGGATCAGAAATTTGGCGTCGACTACAAAACGTGCGACATCTCACTTCTACGCTCCTTGGATTATGAAACGAAAACATCATATACCCTGACATTTCGAGCTTACAACTTCCCAAACGACCCGAACGCAACAACTAAACAGCAAACCATTACTGTAGTTGATGTCAACGATAATTCTCCGGTATGGGATTTTACGTTTCCTTTTCCTGACTATCTGAATGTTGCTCATGAAAAAAAAAAAAAAGTCTTCGCTATATAGGAGCTTCGAGATATGCTAAAAATACAATTATCGTAACCAATGGATGTCATTTATTAGGTGTTAAATATTTATGTTTTATAACTGAAGTACACACCAGAAAAGAAAGTTAGTTGCTATGGAAAATATAATTCTGTGAAGAGCTGCATGCGTGACTAGAGAAGACAAAATTCTCTAAAAAGTTCTAAATTACGAGTACATACAAAGATAAACAGTCGGTGCATACATACATAGAATCGGATGGTTTGCCCATATGACTCCATACCATAGAAGGCATACAATAAAAGAGGAGAAGGACACAAGTTATACCAAGAATAATATGGACAAATAACTTTAGGGAAAGTCTATACAACAACACGATATGTTTATGGCCGAGGCGATCAGAAGTAGAACCTTAAATCACCCTCGACACTAGAAGCGGTAACAAGGAAGTGGAGAAGGAGAAGCAGAAGTACAGCGCAGACCGATTTGCACTGGTTTCGAAAACGGCATGAAAAATCGACGGTTCGGGAAGAAATGCACTAGGACATTTGTGGAGGCCAAAAGAAATGTGTGTGTGTGTGTGTGTGTGTGTGTATGTGCGTGTGTGTGTGTGTGTGGCTGGGTGGGTGGGTGTGCATGTGTGTGTGTGTGTGTGTGTGTGTGTGTGTGTGTGTGTGTGTAAGGTGTTAAAAATAAAAGCATAGTTATCAGGTGATAATATATATTTACAAACGAAAATATCTCTAAAACGAAGTTTTTCGCCTGTGACACAGATGAGTATCCTTTATTTAGTACATGATAGTCCTATGTAGTCACTTCATAGTAAATGCCTAATGTTTGCTGTGTTGTTCTTTATGTGCTGCCGAAGGCTAATCGCCGCAACGTCATTTGTTCATTGTGATCGATTTTGTAAAGCAGACAACTATTTGTTCTTTCTTACCTCTTTTCTTCTCTTTCCTATAGTTTCCTACCCTTTCAACAACTAGTTATCAGGTGACGTGTTTTTATTAGTTGACGATGACCCTGATGCAAAAGAACTGTCAACTGATTGGCTGAACCCTAATGTACGTGTATTTTTGTGCACATTTTGAACAATTCTTCTTCTTCTTTTGTCGTCTCGTTGACACCAGGTTGTAGCCCAGTCTTGTGATCTTCTATGTCTGGCGTTTCTCGAGTAGTTTGGATGGTGGATTTGTTTACTGTTTTGCAAGTTTCAGCTACACCTTTTATCCATCTCTTTCTTTGTCTTCCACTCAACTTTCCCCAGATGTTCAACTGTAAAATGTTTCATATCCGGTTTGGCCCGACTTTATTCTCACTAGATGGTGGAATTATTTCATTCTTTGTCTGTCATTATAATTTAAACACTTTCTCTTTAATGCTGGTATTCGTAATCCTGTCCCTTTGTGTCTTGTTAGTGATTTTAGGGCACAGCGCATTTCACAGGTGGTAATTTTTTTCTAGTGCCCTTATTCACTGTCCATGTTTGGCACGGATAGTATGAGGTAGTCATGAATAGGACGTTAATCATTTGCTGTTTTACTGGAAGGGAGACCTTTTGGGTGTCTAAGTAGTGGGGCTAACAGGTAGGTTATATTATTTGAATTCTGTACTCTGGTTTCTGTCTCTCTCGAGTCTACTGTGTTCTTCAAATGTGCTTCATAGATATTTGAATTCTCGTACTTGTTTTACCGTAGTTTCATTATTATAAACGTTCATGTTATCACGTTTTTTTTGGTGCCTATTGTCATTACCTCAGTTCATTCAGAAATGCAAGTTTTTAATTGATATCATAGACATTATTGAAGATACATTTACTGTGATGTTACTTTATTCAGACATGTACATCTTATAACATCATCATGGACATTACCGAAGACAAAAAGGCTAACGATACCCTACTCAAATTGGATTGCTGGGATGTAGACTCCAATAGTGTCATTGAGTTCTTCAGCGTCCCACAAGGTATGCAGGACATTACCATACATTTTCTCTTTTGCTAGTTTTTGTTTTTCAAGTCAGCTGCTGCATTACCTATTTCAGTGCGTGGATCCTGGCTGGGTCTGAAGACAGCTGGTTTTTCTGAGGTGGTCGCGGCTTACGTAATTAGGTTTTATTTTCACTCCAGGTGTCGTGAGGTGAGCAGCCACCCTACACAATGGACGTCGCGACTTGATTTCCCTCGCGGGCAGTCAAATTTTAAACTTGTACCCGTCCGGAAAGGTATATAGTCCCTTATATTGATCTATACCTTTATCTGGTAAAATATTAATTTCTAGACACTCTAGTTGCTTTGATAAATCTTTATTTTTAAACTTGCAACTGTAGGTTGGCGAATTCTGGTATTTTATTTAGAAATTCCAGTAAACCGGTTTATTCCTTAGGCAGGATTACAGGGGACTTCTTTCCTAGAGACGCTAGTTTGATTTTGAAAAAACATTCTTTCACCTGATCCCAAAGTGTCAAGACGTGTGTGTATACAGTCTATGTAGAAATTGGCACATTCAAAGTTCAATTTCTATCTTCGAAGATTTCCTAAGCTTGGGATGATACCTCCTTAGAGATCAGGCAGACGAATCAAAGTGCAGGCAACCACCACCAACCCATACCATTCGGTGCACCAAGAGTATCCCAAAAGTCGTGTATGCAGTGCCACTACCTCAACATGGCAAGAACTTGTTTGTGAGTTCCAGGACCAGTGGACAATTGCTGACACCTATGTCATCAATCCAGAGAACCAGTCTTCAAGAGATTTGTTGGGCTCTTCTGCATTTATTGTGTCATCACCTGTGAGACCGGCAGTGGGCATCACAGTCTCCAGGAGCTTTGGTGGTACCAGATCAAATCAAGGCCCAACTACTGATAGAGTCAACTACAGTCGAATCACCATGGACTGAGGAGAGCATTGACCTACGAACTGGGCTAAGTGATCTTTTTTCACCCTTCATGCTCTATTCCCACAGCACCTGACCAGACCGATGATGAACTCATGTACTCTCCCTAACCAAGATCTGGCTGCTTCAATATCTGGGTTGTGTCATTGATTCCTGAGCTCCACTCAATGAACTCTTGTTGATATATTCACTATTATATGTATATATTGTACCGATTACATGCACACATTTTCATGGCTGACTTGGGTGTCCCTATTTCACCATTCTAACTGTCTAGCTCTGATGATTGTGTGAGCAATAAGTGTTATATGTGTTAACATGGTTATGATAGTAGACTATCTTTTTATAGTAGTGGGGGTGTCCAGCCAAGTGTGCCTAGGAATATTATTTATTTTGTAGTGCCAAAACTTTAGTTGCCCTACTCCTGAAATAAGTGCGTACATTGGCCACGAGGCATCCCTTAGACCAATACGAGCCAACGACTCAACATAATTATTTCAGAGTGCTGTTGGTTCTTAAGGAGAAATCCTTAAATCAGGCACGCGACAGGAGCGATATGAGACCACAAGGGCAAGCAGGCATGCAAGGAAATGAGCAAACTGATAAGATTACATGTAAGGCTACTGTTATGGGCGGACAAGTCATGGATCAGGCTGATAAACTGAATGGTCTGCATCTAATAGACTTTTGCGAGAATAAGTGACTGTGAATCTGCAACTATGACCAGATTGCAAGAACATCAAAGTTAAAATGGGTAAGGTCAGACAAAGGCATTATGCAGAAAGCCAAAGAATAAAAAATAATAAAACCAACACAGAACTGGTGTCTTCAGCCGCTACAGGCTGCGGGAGAGTGATCAGAGCATTTATGGACTCAATGGTTCGATGTGCAATGATTATAATAACGCTTGAAAATTTTCCGATGAGATGTTTTAAAGCATCGTCTGTTTTTTCCATGGCCTTGACAGTGTTTGAAGAGACCCAGCTTAATGTGCAAGGGTGGCAAAATCTTACTGGTGTCCTCAAGTGCTGGGTTTTCGACGTTCTGATTGGCAAATGTCTTCTGATATAATGGTCATGCCATGAATGGCTATCTCAATTACAGAGAAAGCAGCAGTACTTGGTATATCCACGTTGCAGTCCAAGAAGAAAAGAGGCCTCTTTTATATTGGCACAAAGTGACCAACAAGTCAGAAAGAACCACTACATTGTGGTGGTAGAAAGTGAAAGAATGGGTCTCAGTTTGAATAATGGGAAGACCGAAGTAATGGTGGTATCAAAGAAAATGGTGTTATTTTAGGACAAGTACAGAAATTTAAGTATCTGGGTACATGGATAACATCAGATGGAAGATGCATTACTGAGATATGAATCAGAATAAGACAGGCAAAAACTGCATTTTATAAAATGAAGAACATTTTATACAATGTATCTTTGTCATTGGGAGTTGGAAAAAAGAATTCTATCTGTTGTTGAGATGATCAATGGGCTCTCTCCAAATCATTTGGACTGCAAAAGACATAGCTTGCCTTTTGTCAGTCAACCACAGTTTGAGATTTGCTGCACAAGAATTGCATCCGACAAGGGGATGACGAGTATATTAGATCTTGAGTACAAGCTAGAGGATTTTTTATAGCACTTGAACATATGTGGAAGTCAAAATACATTAAATTGACATGAGGCTTAAAATATTTAACCTTATGACAAATAAGTAACACTGAAAGGAGCAGAAACACCAGGAACAACTGAAACAATTATTAATAAACTGCAGACATAAATTAACTGCATAATGAAAACGGTAGACGAAAAAGAAAAACACAGTAAAGAAAGCTGGAGAGTGAAGTTAAAAACATAGCGAGGACATAGGGTGACCTTCATGCAATAGTACTGAATAGAACGACTTGGCTTGAGTTCCTCGAAGGTCTATGCTTTACTGGCGGAAAAGGGGGGGGGGGGGACGGGTTGGTGGGAAAGGGGAAGCTGGGTAATGGGCAGCAAATGAAACGTGTGCAGGTTTTATCGATGGCGTGAAATAATCATTTATTAAAAATATACACTAAAATAATTTGAAGGAAAAAAAAAAAACCAATAAACAAAAATAAATTGCCTACAGGTAAAAATTATCCTCTGAAAGTAAATCAGAAATCTGGAGAAATTGTGACAACCAAGGATCTGGATTATGACCTGGATATAGCAAACAGGTAAGGTATTATTAAAGGCAGACATTTGACAGTGTTTCTTTTTATTATAGTCCATGTCGTTTATCCGCCCGTGTGTCACCGGGGCCCTCACGGGAAGCAAAGAATAGTGACACTGCACCCTACCAGGCATGTCGTAAGAGGGTAGGGTTGGGCGTGAGGTTGGCTACCTCATCCTGTAAAAACCATAGCCACAAAAACCAACCAACCATGGATAAGTCAAAAAGAGAAGCAAATAAACTCCAGCCAACCAAGATGAGGGGAGGCTCTTCAAAAGGAAGGCCAAAAAACACATGGAGAAGAGAGCTGGAGAATGAGGTTAGAAAGATTGGGAGGACATGGGGAGAGCTCCATGTAATGGCGAAGGATAGAACAACTTGGCGTGAGTTGGTTGAGGGCCTATGCTCCATTGGGGGATAAAAAGGCAGAAGAAGAAGAAGAAGAATGTCGTTTATCGTTAGTAGTCATGTCAGTCCCCAACCTTCTGTCTCGTGTACTTTCAGCCAAAACTAACACAAATTATATTGCATGCCATAATGTCAAACTGTCCGGCATCTTCGCTTTTGGTCTCGCTTTGCCTTTTTTTTCGCTCCAGTTTTCCTACAATCACGATCGATGTACTTAAGTTTTCTTCTTCTCATGGCGTGACCAAAGAATGCAGATGTGGTTTTCTTTGTGAGTCAGTTTCTTTCACAGCTTTCTATAGTAAGGAGACCGTGGTTTATGTCAAGACATCTTCGTTTTTGTTTTTAATCAGTGCAGTGTATTGTCGTCGTTCGCCTATCTCAGCTTTCAATTAGGATTTTAAGTATCGTGTCAACTGTCCCCGATTCATATCCGCTTAACAGGAGAGGATTGAGATAGCTCTGTTTGAGAATGTTTATAGAGATGAGTTTCTAGTTCTTTTTCTTTTGCTGCAGGATAAAAAGTGTAGGATGTAGGTAAAATCAAGTTAAACACTAAGTGGGTTGGTGATATATGTTCCATACACCTCATACACCAAAGATTTAAAACTATCTCTGAAAATCAGTTATATAATATATATCCAATCTCTCTCTCTCTCTCTCTCTCTCTCTCTCTCTCTCTCTCTCTCTCACCCAACCCTCGCAAATACAAACAGAAAAACTTACGTACTAACAAAAATATAAATATATCTTGACATAATACACACAGTCGTTCACGTACACTGATATAGGTAGGGAGCTTTGTTGTACCCCACCAGGGCACAAGCGATAATAACCCGGTGACACAAACTGCCACCATGGGGATGAGGATCACCCGTGAAGAGGTCCCGGAAACCCTGTTCAGCCTATAGGCCATATTTAAGGCAGGCTATATTTAGGGACCCCGGCAAACGCCAGGGTAGGGGCTTCAAAATAACTACATATTTTATCCCGCACGAGAACGACAAGGTTAAACTAGTGCATGCGTGCACACATATATACAATTATAATATACTCACAAATAATGCACACATATATACATACAGACATTCATACAGACATACACAAACACACCACACACACAGACACACACATACACACACACACACGTGCGCAATATCCTGGGTGTCATATATCAACATGCTTGTAATACACTTTCTATACTGCATCCAGACACATGGACATTATGGTGAGAGTGACCGAGAACGGTAAACCGCCAAGGTCGACAACTGTCACCGTGGTCTTCAGGGTGGTGGACATGGACGATCAGCCACCAGTATTCTCATTTTTGTACTATTTTGCAAGTGAGTTAACAACAGTTACTAAAAGTTAATTGCGTCTTATATATATATATATATATATATATATATTATAGGGTGGTGGACAATTGTGGACGATCAGCCACCAGAATATTCTCATTTTACTGTTTGCTTTACTATTTTGCAAAGTGAGTTAACAACAGTTTTTACCTAAGAACGTTAATCTGCAAGCAGCTAGATCTTATATTAGATATAGATAGATGATAGAGATATTATATAGATAGAGATATAGTATAGTTAATCCTCTCGGCTTCAGCTTTATAATTCTGCAACCTCTTTAAATTTTGCTGTTTGCTTTAACAAAATGTCACTATTATGCCAAGAATAAAACATTATAAATGGCAGAAAAAGTAAGCGGCCATATACAAGTTCTTATAAAGTATTCCCGTGTACGTGCGTGGTGGGAATGTGGGGTGGGAGGTTATAAGGGATAAAGTATTTTCCAATGATTTTTCTTGATGACCCATTGACCCTCACCCCAAATACACATCCAGTATAAATAACTTCACAATTTTATTTTATCGATTGTATTTTCTACATTTTTTTTACTAAATGGTTTTGCGGTGCCGCAGTTAGGCATATTTTCAGCCAGGTCCTCTTCATCTGAAGTGGCTCAGATCTTTCAGCAACATCTTTTTTTCCTTTCCTCTATTTCTATAGAATTCTGGCATTGTCCCAGTGGCTGTGTGACAACAATAACTGAGCAGTACCTTCTTCTTAATTATCAGCATGTCGCGGAAACCGTTAGTTCGCTTTTATTACTTATTTCAGATGTATGCTAATCAGATCAAAGAGCCAGAACCTCGGTCCTAATTAACAAGAACACTGATCAAGATGCTATGCTGATTTCCATTGAATTGTACAATGATGTCAGAGGCCAGTTCGGCTACGGGATGAGTAGGTGTGATGATAGTGAATCATCACGGATGAACGAGTTGGCCCTCAGTCAAACTCAGAGCGAGATCGGGCAGTCTGACCACTGAATAAACTGTATCGAGTGAGATGGGCTAAACCCTACGAACAACTAGCAACACAAGTTACGGCGTGTCAGAGATGAACGCGAGAGAGGAACAAAACGCTTGGACGGGAGCTTGCTCGGGGAGATGTGTGGTAGGACACTGGACTGGACAGATGTAGGACTGCGATGGGTAAAACGTATCTTAGTTTAGTGACGGTTAGATGAATAGTATTTGTGGTTAGTATTTGAGATAAGCTATCAACGCCGGCGTTAAGGACGGCCACCTTTGTTGGGGTGCTATAAGTCTTAAACGAGTACCAAGAAATGTCGTGGGAAGTTATGGCGGTCAGGGTGATACTAACAACATCACCCGTAAATGCAGATCCGCCCATATAAATAGGGTGATACTAACAACATCACCCGTAAATGCAGATCCGCCCATATAAATAGGGGACTAGTACCATAACCTTCATAGGCATGGGAATAAGGCATGTGATAACCTACTGCATTTCTAGTGTTGGTCTGTTTGTGTTGGCACTTCTGACTTCTGCCTTATGCATTTAATGCCTGATGCGAAAATTCTTGTTGATTCTCAAAGGAAATATCTATTAAAGTCTGAGGCCACAATTTTGGAACGGACTATAGAAATAGATTGTAATATATGCTTAGACTTCGTGTGAATAGTAAATGTATGGACACTGCCACTGAGAAGATCGTTAAGTTTACCCGACCAGCCTCTGAAGCAAATTCTTCCGGGTACCTGTGCTCTCGTAAAAAATGTATTCCTTCTTCGTTTTCTTCTGTCCTTTTATCTCTGGATGACCCACTGGCCCTCACCCAAAAGTCATATCCGGTATTAATTACCTTACAGTTTTTTCCCCCATTATATTTTTAACTGGCTATAGAAAAATATAAGTAACGGACACTTTTCCACGCATTCTAGCGTACTGTTTATATAGTTCTAGACTAACATGTTTATAGACCTATCGGAAGTCGATGGGTGATGTGGTCATCATACGCCGTCCACCTTTACTTCCCAAGATTTTAACTAGTTCAGGCTAGGTCGAACTGGCAACCAGGAACTTGTTGCGGAATTGAGCTTACAACAATCGGGCCCGAGGCGAGAGTCTAACCACACCACCTTAACGGTTCCCACGTGTTAAGGTAGTCAAAATCAAACTTTCTATCCTCAGTCGCATTTACGGCATGCTTGAAAGGTTAAATGTTATCATGTGGCTTCTACTGTGGGCCACAGTAACACACAAAAGCTGTCATGTATTTACAAAGACTAGTCTTTTCCTTCTGTGACTACATATATAATTTAATTAACATATACTTGTTTCCTAATGTGAAGTTTCTCGGCGATGGGTTTTATTATGTGGAAGAAGTAGTAGAAAAGGTGATGGAAGTAGTAATAATAGTAGTAGTCTAAATAGTAGTAGTGGTGGTAGTAGTAGTAGTAGTAGTAGTAGTAGTAGTAGTAGTAGTAGTAGTAGTAGTAGTAGTAGTAGTAGTAGTAGTAATAGTAGTAGTAGTAGTAAAAGAACTTGTAACATACATCAGCAGCAATAGCATCAAGAGTTCTATTTATTCACTGACATCATTGATTTTTTGTATCTGCAGGCGCCATCCTGGTGAAAACCCATGTCGACTGGGAGACTGAGCCCCGAGTCAACTGTGTAGTGTACGCCTACTCATCCAATAAATATGACAATCGAACGTTCGCCAATGTCAGTATTACAATAACTGATGTGAATGACAGACCACCTAAGCTCACAAAGGTTGGTTACTTATTTTCTCTAATATTATACACACAGTGCATTTTTCTTTAGGGAGAGCGGCTGGCCGAGCGGATAAGATCACAAGGCTCTCTCGGGGGAGACCAAGAGGTTGAGGGAGTTTTTCCTGTCGGGGGTAAAAATACAATCATCACCTGCACAGCTCCCTCAGCTCCTGAAAGAAGGTAATTGTAGGTAGAAATGGGACAGAAGTTATATTTAAACGGGTAGATAATTGTTTTTTTTCTTTATTAGGGGGTCGTGTTAGCCATGTGGCTACTTTCGCATGCAAATGCGCATATCTGGGGTTCGAAAAAAAAAAAAAAGAGAAACTGGGGATAGGGGTGATTGGAAAAATAGGGGGGGGGGGCGCTTAAAAAAAGTCATTTAGTACTTATCTTACTTAGTCTTTGCCGATATATCATGCATTTCGTGAAGGCTCTTATGGTCATTAAAACATAATTACAGAGAGCAAGGGAGAGAGAGAGAGAGAGAGAGAGAGAGAGCAACAGAGATAAACAGAGAGAAATAGAGAGAAATAGAGAGGTGGAGAGTTAGAAAGACATAGAAAGGAACTGTGAGAGAACGAGTGATAAAGAGAGAGAGAGAGAGAGAGAGAGAGAGAGAGAGTGAGAGAGAGTAAAAGGAAGAGTTAGTGCGAGATACTAAGAGAGGAAACAAATAAAAAGTGACAGAGATATAACATATCCAGGTTTCTAATCGCAATCCCTCTCCCCAATTTTACACACACACACATGATTGCATATATATATATATATATATATATATATATATATATATATATATATATATATATATATATATATATATATATATATATATATATTTTTAATTATTGGCACCTTTCTGTCTTCAAGACGATAGAGTTATATTGTGCTATGAGGAGACATGGGACTCACAGCCCACGACCAGCTCCAGCTGACGTCATGCTGCTGCCATGTTGCTGACGTCACCAGATTGGGCTAACAATGCGTTAACTCAACGGTTCTCAAACAAGAAATAAACTATTTTCGACAGTGTTCAGGGAAGACAACTTAAATTTTAACTTTTAAATATCTACATGCCTTCTTTAATAATTTCTTGATTATTACCCCTGGCACACACAAGACCAGTTCATGCCTTCTTTAATAATTTCACAATTTCTAGCCGACTTTTCTTGATTATTGCTGCGGCACCCCTGGCATACGCTCAAGACACCAAGTTTGGTAAAAAAACAAAGATTGCGTTAATGATGTCTTTCAATTTACACATTTTGTAACCTGTAAAATTATGATGAACTGTCTCCTGACAGAATTTATTCGAAGGAGTGATTGTGGAAAACTCACCAGCCTTCACTTCTATTCTCACCGTCACAGCCAGGGACCCAGAGGATGGTGTTAACGGACAGTTCACATACTCACTTGCTGGAGGTAGGTGTTAACTCATTACGGTTGGCTGTTAGCCTGCTGCCCCAAAGGTACTGGGTATGGACCCAGAGGATGGTGTTAACGGACAGTTCACATACTTACTTGCTGGAGGTAGGTGTTAACTCATTAGAGTTAGCTGTTAGCCTGCAGCCCAAAAGGCACTGGGCTGGACCCAGAGGATGGTGTTAACGGACAGTTCACATACTCACTTGCTGGAGGTAGGTGTTAACTCATTACGGTTAGCTGTTAGCCTGCTGCCCCAAAGGCACTGGGCTGGACCCAGTTTATGGTGTTAACGGACAGTTCACATACTCACTTGCTGGAGGTAGGTGTTAACTCATTACAGTTAGCTGTTAGCCTGCAGCCCAAAAGGCACTGGGCTGGACCCAGAGGATGGTGTTAACGGACAGTTCACATACTCACTTGCTGGAGGTAGGTGTTAACTCATTACGGTTAGCTGTTAGCCTGCTGCCCCACAGGTACTGGGCTGGACCCAGCTAAAATGGGGACTGTGATATTCTTAAAAGTAAAGGCTGCTGGCATAATATTGACCACATTCCCTCAGCCTACAGCCTTCCAGCTGGTCTATGCATCACATGCCCCATGC